TCCAGTCTCGTCTCGTGTGAAGCCCTATCCAAAATTAAATAGCGTAACTTTATAACTTAAAAAAAAGAAGAAACAAATTTTGTAGCTGTGAATATTGCCACGACAGCTTTTTGTTCTTGCTGGATTTATAAGGGACATTAAAGCTGTCACGGCGTAGCAAAAATCCCTTTTTCCTTGCTCGGAAACAAATGCCCCCAAAGAGGAAAACACAAGTTGCCCGTGTACGCATCGCAAATCCTCGGACCTTCGGAAATTGAAAAACGTTTCTTTCTTTCCTTATTGTATATGTAAATGCGTAATGTTTTGCTGCCGCTTGACGGCTTCTGGCTTGATCCCGGCACGGTGGTCCTCACGTAGGTAATTGGAGACAAATAGGTTTACAATGGTACTTACAATGTCATATTTCACGGTCAAAGGGATACGTCAAAACGAATGAGTGTCGTTGTCGTCCGCGCATCACTTGGCGCACCAAAAATCTTCAATACTCTTCAATCTTTGAACGCTTTGAGGTTATTATTTCGGTGCCGTTGAAGAAATAATATGTTGTCATATTTTCGGCTAAACGCCGCGCGCAGCTGGCGTAACCCAAACGTCTTGAGTTGCTCGAGTCTCTCGAGGTCTCGACATAGCCAATCAATGTCACAACTTGCGGCGTGAATCTGTGCGCGCCTTCTAGAAAGGATAGAAGGTGGTTTTATACGACCTCTTCGCCGTGTCCTCATTAGGATGTCCAAGCGGGCCGTAACTCAGGTCTTGAATGTCAAACGTAGTCAAACGACGCTCACGCCGAACGCACGTTATTACCGCGTTTATGTCCTGTCGAAAAAAAGTGCCCGACCCATAATTATATAGATTTCTGATTTTCGAATTTTCTCAAGCGCTTTTTACCGCTTGCACTGACAGCGTTTTACACAAAGACGTGATCTAATTATTATACAAAGCAAGTTCGATTTTGAAGAAGCACATAATACATTAACGTCCTGACAATGACTTAGGTTGTAGGTTGTGAGTTGTGACGACTACTGATTGGAAGCGAGCATAAGGCATAACCGCAATTGGAGTCCAACTGTTTGCCATATTTAGTGTTGCTTCTCCTCTTTCAATGTAGATAATATTGACAGCAGAAAACAAAAGCGTTGCCTTTGCTTATTACAACAAAAACAAAAGAAGCTGAAGAAGCAAATCGCACGTCCGCATAAAATGTAAATTATTGCTCCTGCCTATTCTTCTCTTTCTCGGCGGATAACAACAGCGTATAAATCCCCAATTGATTGATTTGCATATTCAGAAGTTGGTTGGCCGGCAGCACGCACATCGTTTTCGTAAATGAAATGCAAAAGACATAGGTGCGCATCGGACAACTCATTTTTTTCAGTTTTTCATCCGAAATGGCCACCGACACGCAATCATTCAATGAAGCGCGTAGAGCATTCTTTGTAGGCTTGCTATTATTACGCGTTGGTTCTGTTTTTTTTTTTCTCTGTTGGCAAAAATACTGCGATTAATATTGTCTGGGCCGTCTTTTCCTCGCATAAAAGATTTTACATATTTAGCCCCAAACTTCACTTCCTTTGCGCGCTCCTCATCAATTACCTGACGCGAATAGAATCATGCGATCGCATCAATGATGCGACTTTAATTAGTCTACTCGCATATAACCTGCAATTAATACTAATGGCGGTGTTATAACGATGCTATCTGTGTCTTTGAAATTTCAGTTTTTCCGTACTTGTCGGCAACTTTGGCGTGGAAAAACTGACTCATCATTATCGTACTATTAAAGATGTTTAAGTGCGCGGCTTTTGTGGATTTCCATGCGCTATGTGAGAGAAACGAAGCGTGTATTTGCTTTGTCACCGCAAGTGCATAATGTGCATACTGTTCGCTTGATCTCTTAGAGTGCTAGGCTACTCAATCGTTATTGACTGTGTGCAGAAATTGCAAGTCGTTTCGCGTTTCGTTTTTGCGTCATTTTCCAAAGTTAATAGTGTTCAGAAGGCGCGCGAACGCTGGAAAGATAATAGTAGCACGTAATAACGCATAAAAATACGCGCGCTATGTCTAACTGTGCTTGTGCATCGCAACGACAACAAGACGCAGACGCGTTCGTTAATGGCACATTTACCAAGTGGTAATAAATATTATAATTATATTTAGAAATATTTATATTGTGCGAGCGAATGCGGCGAGGTGTGCGCGCGCGAATGGAATAAATGCGAATGCTGGGTTCGGATAGACAGATTTTCATGTGTTTTCTTTTCTTCTGTAGGGCGTAACTCATTAGCCTCGGCGACCTCGCCAAGGATTCTTCTGCTTCACATCTATAATGTGTGTGTGCGGCTTGGTGCGCCGGTAATTTTTGCTTGTGCAACCTGCCTCTCCTCTGACGAGCGTTATGATAATAAAAAACACCGCCGTGAATTTGTCGTGATAGTATATTACTCTCAAGAAAATCAGTAGATATAAAGGAATATATCTGATATTTATATCGATCAAATTTCATAATTAGTGGGATAACATATGACGTCCGTGGATATATAGAAATAATAATGAACGTATTGAAATTTTAAGACTGAATGGAGTCGCCCTAGGGATTTAGAAGTCCTAAAACACTTGATTAACGTCCATCGCATCAATTCATAACAAGCTAAACAATGCAAATTTGCATGTACAATGTATGCACAGTGCACAGTGCGCAGATGCCATTATTCACAATATTGGTAATTACGCTGCAAAACCGAAAACTATTTCATGCAGCGACGCGACAAAACAAATACAAAATCACGAAGGAAAGTGAGCGCGAAGAAGCGCACAACACGCAACGTCGAGCTCTTCGGCCGGTGCACACCTCTTCGTTCGCGCATTTGTCACGCGATGTTTTATTATCTTGTTTTGTGCGCTCGTGCACCCAGCTACCAATCGCATGTTTTTGATCAAATGTGGGTGGAGTTGCATTCAAATTTTGCAGCAAAAAATGCCCGATTCCTCTAAGATAAATTCATTACCATTACACGCGGCTGTTTCAGTCTAAGCTGCACACGTATATAATTACATACTTTTAACATTGCAAAGATGAGGCGTGCCCCGAAATATTTCACCTTTCCGCAAAATGATTCGAAATGTTTGGAGGCAGTTTGGCAGCGGTCGGGTGCACTCCAGCAGCCGGCACACCGGTGCCTAATGGTTGTAATATCACGAGCAAAGTATACGTTGGCTAAACGCATTCGTACAACACACGCGAAAGCGACCACGAAGACGATTCGGACGGCCACGATCGAAATTAACATAATGCGAATAATGTTTGCAATTTGTGAGTAAAAATGCGTGCGCGCCGAGGACGAAGCATTTATATAACCGTAATCGCATTCGATACTCGCGCATATCAAAACAGGGACCTCTTTTTTTTGATAAATGTATGATTTTGAGCATCGCGCACGCGATTCGACGTCTTTTTTTCAAATTATAGGCTCGCTGTGTGATTTGGTGCGCTGGATGTTTATTGCCGATGATGACTGTTTGGGACGGTTTTGTACTGCGAGTTTAAGCGGTTGTCCTTTTAGCAGCCGCAGCGAATTAAACGCAGCGATATAATTCCGCTGCTGCTGCTGCCTTCCGCGTGGTAAAAGCAAACGCGCTTCAATTACGTTGATTGCGTCGAGAATCTGGAATGCAAGGCGTCCATTCTCATACGAGTAAATGCGTGTGCATGTGTGTATTGAATGACTTTCAAATTTTGGTTTTATCGGTGCGCGGCAAGTGTGTGACTTCTCATGTCAGTTGATGGCTAGGTAATTTTAACGTAATGCACGCTCGCCGCGCGAGGCTGGCTGAGGTCGGGCAGTGCCAGAATGCCTGAAACCCTCGAGCTGCGGTTCTTGCTGCGACCGCGCTGCAAGAACATTTTCGGACGCAGCCGACGCGCGGGTTTCTAATAAAACATCTTCGGAGCTGATGCGCTGGGCGGAGCGCTTCTTAGCGCCGCTTGCCGGCCAACGGTCAGATACCTATATGATTGCCGCTCACCTGACAGCTGGTGATCTATTCTCCGGCGTTAATGGCCTTCTTCGGCGCTCGCCCCACTCGCGCACTTAATGTGATCATCGACGGTCACTGTACCTTTTGTCCCTGAAACCGAGCAGCCGCACTTAGCTCATCAGTCATTTATTATTTTGATCAATTTTATTGGAAAATATTTATAGAAATAATGTTAAGGGTCCACATTACTAGTTAACATTGCTATTTTTAAAATTACTTGTTTTATGCAGTTAGGAAAATTTTTATTCGTCATTGGCAAATATAAACAGAAAAATGAATAATCTTAAATGTTTACGGTTTGTGATATATTCATATTTTACTAAAAGCATGTAAATGTTTCCGATATTAAAGGAAAAGCCAAAGGAATTAATTTGATTTTTTTAAATCAAATACGTGCTTTTAACGTAGGCAACCCAATATGCGCTAAAATTTGTGCGAGTGCTATTTTACACTGGTATAACTTTTTGAAAAGGCAAATTCGTCAAATAAATTTACTTTGCCCTTTTACTATCGACCCTTCAAATTTTTATAATTTGAATATCTTTATTGTATATTTTACATACTTAACTTATTTCAACTCCGTATTTTGTTGTTCATATATTCAATATGAATACATACTAATAATTCAAGGATTTATAGCTACAAGGAATTTAAATATATGACAAACATACAGCCAGTAAAAATATAACTATATTTGAACACCTAAGAAAAGATAAACAAACATTTATATTTTATTGACGAACATACACGTCTAATGTTTGTGTGTGTGGTAGTGTCTATACAGCCTTGCGATTTCACGTTGCACTGAAATTTGACCGGTTTGTTCTTATCTCTTATTGTCAGGTGATATGCGTACGGTATTCGTGTATAGTTTTGTACTATATACGCGACCGTGTGATGGCGCCGCGTGTATTGTTTGCTCACGCTGCAGGAATAAAATTAGTTTTGCCGTATCCGACGGATTGTTCGCACGCGGTCGTCGCGATTCTCCTATCTTCGGAGTTAATTAGCTAACTCGTATTACTTTGGGTGTTCTTAGTGATTATTGCTGACTATTGTGTCTCGCTAATGATTTATTGCTTATAAGATGTTCGCGACATGCAAATATTGTGTATTTGTTCGTGAGCGGGGTGTCGACGGATGCCGTTTACGATGGAAATTTTACAGTACCTACTAACCAGTAAGTAATTTAAATAATATTCTCAACGATATTGATTGATTATGTTTCTGCCGTTTGTTTTTCTTTATTATCATATTTTCGTAGTGTTTTATAGATTGTTATATTCATAAATGTACTTAAAATTGCATGGCATGTGTTGTCAGTTCAAGCGAAGCGATTGTATCTTATTTCTTATCTTTTCACAAAAATCAGAAAATTGCACATTTTACCACTGTTAGTCATGATTTTGGACCTTTTACTCCAAAGAATAGAATTATTTTTTTATTTTTATCTTATAGAGAATATTCCAATCTGTTATATTTTTCAATCTGTTGGTGGCTATCGTCTTTAGTTTAAAAGATATGCACTATTCAAGTTTATTGACTTAAATATGACAAGAACGTTGATTTTTTTGTTTATTTAATTATATTGCAATTAATCGCAATTGTATAGTTGAATTTTTCAGTATAAGAAACCTGAATTACATAATTCGGATTTTAAATTTTTATTAATTTTTTTAATCCAAATTCCGGGACTACTATTTGCATTATTTATAGATGGCCCTAGCATTAACAAAAATTGTAAAATAGATATGTATTGTTTATTTCTATAGCTATCAGCAAGCGCGAGCATTCAACGCGAGAATTGTGTTTGTTTTGAACACAACTTACACTTTCTTATCGCATTCGCCGCGAGAAGGCAATGCATGAGATCCCCTCACGCCGCTTGTTGGCGCATCTTAGTTTAGTTTTGATCGCAGGTAACGTACCAAAGCGATTCGCGTACAAGGTCGCGTGCTATCGACGCACTGGCTATGCGCATCTCTTGCTTTCTTATCATAAACTGTCGCGTCGTTGCTTGCACAGTTTGCAGCCAGTTTCGTGCCGGTATTTGGTTGATCCAATATTTTACGCGACTCGTATTGTTTGTCCGAACCAGTGGCGTAGCGTGCCTTGTCGGGGCCCCGTATAAAAATTTTTTTGGGGGCCCTTATATGGAGGTAAAGGTTTTTCCTTACACACTTTGGGGGTCCCCGTGGCCCGGGGGCCCCGTATAATTGATACGGCAAATACGGCGGTAGCTACGCCCCTGGTCCGAACATCTACTTTCCAAATTCTTAATATATTATATTCTATCATCCATTGACTATAGTAATGTTACTTACTGTTTGCGCGTTTATTGTCCATAAATGCCGGTTAAGTGTATCGCCTCCATGTTGATTTGATATTCATCATTAGGATGACCCATCGTGCTGGTGTAACTAACTTTTAACTAAACAGCGCAGATTGTTTGTTTTTCTCTGCTGTGTGATTATAATATTACTAAATTGTATTAAATGTTTTTGTTTTAACTTATGTTTTCTTTGTTTATTTACAGTATTAGCCGCGCCTTGGAGTTCCATGAGTTCTGCATTGGTAAGTTTATAATTTAATCATATTTTTTGTTTTAATTTCTGCGTCCTCCATTAGTTTGTTTTTACGTTGTTTTGATTTATCGCGTGCCATTGCGTGTTGCAAATTTATAAGATAGTCGCGTACTCGGCTGATTCATCCCAAAATTAGTATTGTTTAGTATTTCTTTCGTTTACAAAAGGGCAAGAGTTGTACCTGAAGATGCAGTTAATTGGAATTCTGCCTTAACCATCCCTATCCCCTTTTGTCTTGCTTTTTTTAATTCCAATTATTTCGGATCGAAGATTCTAAATCTTTGTAAAATTCTCTATAAGATGAGGTATTCAAATTGGGGAAATAAGGGAGGTCAAGAATAATTCATAAATAAAAATTTGCAATTCACGTTTCTTCTCACTGAGAGGTTTTAATTCATTTTTAGATAAATTTTGAAAATTTGTTTGTTGTCGCATGCAGTATATTATAGTTTAGTTTTTCGAATATAACCTCACGGAACAAAATTATTTTTAATCTATACCTGATAGAGACTTTTCATATTCTTTGATCTGTTGGTCGCTTGCGATTTTAGTTTAAAAGAGGGTAGCGGTAGACTCTTATTCAGGGCACCGTACAAGAGCAGCGGTAGAAGTGACTCGTGTTCAGAGCACCGTACGTGGATGATTGTATAGCTGACTCGCATTTGCCAAATATAAAAACTTTAAATTTCCATATGAAAGAGAATTTTACAATCTTTCATAATCAGCAATTCGTTGGTTGCTATCTCTTTTAGTTTAAGAGGTATTAATTATCGAAAATCGTCGATAAAAATTATCAGGCACCCCCACCCCCCCTGGCAATTTTTTCTTAAGAATTAAAAGTACATCTCTCAGGTTTCTGCCTTAACTAGTCTATCTTATAGATAATAGTCCGCAGAATAGTCTCTGCGAGTTGTACCTATTTATCCCTTTTAGTTTACGAGATATTCGCGATTGAATAAAATGGACAAAAATTGAAAAATGTCACTTTTTAGCACTTTTAGTCGCGTTTTTCGACCTTTTACTGTAGGAAATATAATGATATTATATTTTTATCTAATAGAGAATTTTCCAATCTTTTATAATCAGCAATTTGTTGGTAGCTATCTCTCTTAGTTTAAGAGATATTAATTATTGAAAATCGTCAATAAAAATTATCAAGCACCCCCCCTTGGCCATTTTTTTCTTAAGACTAAAAATTTTGTCTCTCATATTTCCCTTTTAACAATCCTATATGATAGAAAATAGTCCGTAGATTAAGACGCTTCGATCAGATCTTATTTATCTCTTTTAGTTTACGAGATATTCGCGATTGAATAAAATTGGCAAAAATTGAAAAATATCACTTTTTAGCACTTTTAGAGCTTTTAGTCGCGTTTTTCGACCTTTTACTGTAGGAAATATAATTATTTTATATTTTTGTCTGATAGACAATTTTCCAATCTTTCATAATCAACAATTCGTGGGTTGTTATCTCTTTTAGTTTAAGAGATATTAATTATCAAAAATCGTCGAAAAAAAGTATCAAGCACCCCCCCTTGACCATTTTTTTCTTAAGACTAAAAATTTTGTCTCTCATATTTCCCTTTTAACAATCCTATATGATAGAAAATAGTCCGTAGATTAAGACGCTGCGATCAGATCTTATTTATCTCTTTTAGTTTACGAGATATTCGCGATTGAATAAAATGGGCAAAAATTGAAAAATGTCACTTTTTAGCACTTTTAGTCGCGTTTTTTGACCTTTTACTGTAGGAAATATAATGATATTATATTTTTATCTGATAGAGAATTTTCCAATCTTTCATAATCAACAATTCGTGGGTTGTTATCTCTTTTAGTTTAAGAGATATTAATTATCAAAAATCGTCGAAAAAAAGTATCAAGCACCCCCCTTGACCATTTTTTTCTTAAGACTAAAAATTTTGTCTCTCATATTTCCCTTTTAACAATCCTATATGATAGAAAATAGTCCGTAGATTAAGACGCTGCGATCAGATCTTATTTATCTCTTTTAGTTTACGAGATATTTGCGATTGAATAAAATGGGCAAAAATTGAAAAATGTCACTTTTTAGCACTTTTAGTCGCGTTTTTTTACCTTTTACTGTAGGAAATATAATGATATTATATTTTTATCTGATAGAGAATTTTCCAATCTTTCATAATCAACAATTCGTGGGTTGCTATCTCTTTTAGTTTAAGAGATATTAATTATCAAAAATCGTCGAAAAAAAGTATCAAGCACCCCCCCTTGGCCATTTTTTTCTTAAGACTAAAAATTTTGTCTCTCATATTTCCCTTTTAACAATCCTATATGATAGAAAATAGTCCGTTGATTAAGACGCTGCGATCAGATCTTATTTATCTCTTTTAGTTTACGAGATATTCGCGATTGAATAAAATGGGCAAAAATTGAAAAATGTCACTTTTTAGCACTTTTAGTCGCGTTTTTTGACCTTTTACGGTAGGAAATATAATGATATTATATTTTTATCTGATAGGAAATATAATGATATTATATTTTTATCTGATAGAGAATTTTCCAATCTTTCATAATCAACAATTCGTGGGTTGCTACCTCTTTTAGTTTAAGAGATATTAATTATCAAAAATCGTCGAAAAAAAGTATCAAGCACCCCCCCTTGGCCATTTTTTTCTTAAGGCTAAAAATTTTGTCTCTCATATTTCCCTTTTAACAATCCTATATGATAGAAAATAGTCCGTAGATTAAGACGCTGCGATCAGATCTTATTTATCTCTTTTAGTTTACGAGATATTCGCGATTGAATAAAATTGGCAAAAATTGAAAAATATCACTTTTTAGCACTTTTAGAGCTTTTAGCGCGTTTTTCGACCTTTTCCTGTAGGAAATATAATTATTTTATATTTTTGTCTGATAGACAATTTTCCAATCTTTCATAATCAACAATTCGTGGGTTGTTATCTCTTTTAGTTTAAGAGATATTAATTATCAAAAATCGTCGAAAAAAAGTATCAAGCACCCCCCCTTGACCATTTTTTTCTTAAGACTAAAAATTTTGTCTCTCATATTTCCCTTTTAACAATCCTATATGATAGAAAATAGTCCGTAGATTAAGACGCTGCGATCAGATCTTATTTATCTCTTTTAGTTTACGAGATATTCGCGATTGAATAAAATGGGCAAAAATTGAAAAATGTCACTTTTTAGCACTTTTAGTCGCGTTTTTTGACCTTTTACTGTAGGAAATATAATGATATTATATTTTTATCTGATAGAGAATTTTCCAATCTTTCATAATCAACAATTCGTGGGTTGCTATCTCTTTTAGTTTAAGAGATATTAATTATCAAAAATCGTCGAAAAAAAGTATCAAGCACCCCCCCTTGGCCATTTTTTTCTTAAGACTAAAAATTTTATCTCTCAGATTTCCGCTTTAACTAGCCCATTAAGATAGATCAAAATTAATAGATTAAGATAGATTAGGATAGATTTAACTAAACTCTGTGCTGTTTATTTGTTTATTTTGTGTTGATTGTTAATTATAACATAATTCAATTGTATGAAATATTTTTGTTTTAATTTATGTTTTCGTGTGGTTACAGCACTCGTTGTGCCTGGGAGTCCGATAAGCTGTACACTGGTAAGTTCATAATTCAATTATATTTTTTGGTCCAATTTACATTTGCTGTTTATAAACAACGAACTACCTACCTGCAGGGCCGATGAGACTGGGATAAATTCCCCGGGGCCCGGCTAATCGCTCTTAAATCGCAGTCACAAAAAAATAGCAAAAAATTGACAATTGCCGAAGCCCGCGGCTTTTCCCCGGTGTCCGCGCTGGTTCTTGACGGCCATGTCTGTATCTCCCTGTATTGAAATTTATTGCAAGAAAATTCCGTAACGCGAGTTATATTGAGAGTTGTGTATGTGCGCCGTAGTAATCGTTGCTCACGGAATTTTAGTTTTTTTAGTATAACACGCGAACTCGGTGTTAAAGTTAGTTTGGAATAATTTTCCCAGATGCGGAATTTAATTGTGTATCACCCTGTATCGAAATATATTACGAAAAAAATCCGTTACGCGAGTTATATTGAAAGTTGTGTGTGTGCGTCGTAGTAATTGTTGCGCTAGGTATTGTAGTTTTTTTACTATAACACGCGAACGCGGTGTCAGAGTTAGTTCAGAATAATCTTCAAAGATGCATAATTTAATTTTGCATTCCCCTGTATTGAAATTTATTGCTAGTAAATTCCGTAACGCGAGTTATATTGAAAGTTGTGTGTGTGCGCCGTAGTAGTCGTTGCGCTAGGACTTGTAGTTTTTTTAGTTTAACACGCGAACGCGGTGTTAGAGTTAGTTCGGAATACTTTTATCAGATGCAGAATTTAATTTTGTATCTCCAGGTATTAAAATTTATAGCCTGAAAGTTCCGTAACGCGGGTTATATTGAAAGTTGTGTGTGTGCGCCTTAGTAGTCGTTGCGCTAGGAATTGTAGTTTTTTTTAGTATAACACGCGAACGCGGTGTCAGAGTTAGTTTGGAATAATTTTCACAGATGCATAATTAAATTCTGCATTCCCATGTAGTGAAATTTACTGCTAGAAAATTTCGTAACGCCAGTTATATTGAAAGTTGTGTGTGCGCCGTAGTAATCGTTGCGCTAGGAATTGTAGTTTTTTTTAGTGTAACACGCGAACGCGGTGTCAGAGTTAGTTCGGATTAATATTCCCAGATGCGGAATTGAATTCTGTATCACAGTGTATTAAAAATTATTGTAAAGAAATTCCGTAACGCGAGTTATATTGAAAGTTGTGTGTGTGTGCGCCGTAGTAGTCGTTGCGCTAGGAATTGTAGTTTTTTTTTTAGTGTAACACGCGAACGCGGTATCAGAGTTAGTTCGGAATAATTTTCCCAGATGCGGAATTGCATTCTGTATCACAGTGTATTAAAAATTATTGTAAAGAAATTCCGTAACGCGAGTTATATTGAAAGTTGTGTGTGTGTGCGCCGTAGTAGTCATTGCGCTAGGAATTGTAGTTTTTTTAATATAACACGCGAACGCGGTGTTAGAGTTAGTTCGGAATACTTTTATCAGATGCAGAATTTAATTTTGTATCTCCAGGTATTAAAATTTATAGCAGGAAAGTTCCGTAACGCAAGTTATATTGAAAGTTGTGGGTGTGTGCGCCGTAGTATTTGTTGCGCTAGGAATTGTAGTTTTTTTAGTATAACACGCGAGCGCGGTGTCAGATTTAGTTCGGAATAATCGTTCCAGATGTAGAATTTAATTATGAATCTCCTTGTATTGAGATTTATTGTGAGATAATTCCGTAACGCGAGTTATATTGAAAGTTGTGGGTGTGCCCCGAAGTAATCGTTGTCCTGGGAATTGTAGTTTTTTTAGTAGAACACGCGAACGCGATGTTAGAGTTAGCTCAGAATAATTTTCCCAGGTGCGATTGTGACTCGTGTTTAGCGCACCTTACGAAGGTAGCGGTAGAAGTGACTCGTGTTCAGGGCACCCTACGAAGGTAGCGGTAGAAGTGACTCGTGTTCAGGGCACCGTACGAAGGTAGCGGTAGAAGTGACTCGTGTTCAGGGTACCGTACGAAGGTAGCGGTAGAAGTGACTCGTGTTCAGGGCACCCTACAAAGGTATACTTATTTTGCCTATTTTAATATTTTATTTTATAAGGAATATTTAAATTAGTCGCGGTGTTGTAAACATCAATTATTGAATTAACTAAGGTATACAGTAAACTTATACGAAGACAATTAAAAAACAATAAATTATTTATTTGTATTGGTAAATTACAAATTCCTGTTTTTCTTCATCTTTATTGCATCTCATAACCAATATATTCTATTCTTATGCCGAGAAATATTGAAAGTAAAAGTAGATTTCGTGTATGTGTGTTATTTCAATATTGTGAATATTTACTTTCGTCTTCTCAACTACGTGTTTACCACTACGTTTGTGTATAAACAACTTTTTTGTTCAACTGACGCTACGTACGCTATCGCTTATCGCTACGTACCTGCCTTGTACCTGGTTTCGCACACCGCACACGGCAGTAGTTTCACCGCGTGGTCCGCGAACGCGTGTCTCTAATCGCCACGCGTTTTCAGACTTCAATTATTCAATTAATCGTAGTGCATTCTTTTCGTTATCAGCAAATTATTCGTAACGAGCATGTGTGCCTGTTTTGTTTGATGAGTTGTGGCGGTTAGAGTGTTCTTAAGTGAGAAATAAGTGTCCGATAATCTCTGCGCGAGTTTTCAGTTGATAAGATATATACCTGGATCTAAAATTTCTTTATCAATGCACTGGTAGGTGTTTAATCACTTTTTTTTGCGTAAAGTTAAGACGGTTTAACTTAAATTGATTATTCCATTTGAGGGATATTAATTTTGCAGATTACAAACACATGGTAGCATTTTTATCAGAATTCTTAGTCCTGTTTCCGAAAATTACATGTATAATTTAATTATTACAAACACTGTGTTAAAAAATATCTGAGGATTATTAAAATGACAATATTTATGTGGTCGACCACGCTCACTTTGACGTCGACCGTCGGCTCGTTTCCGCTGAACGTTTTTAATCGAATTTCCCTCCTTATCATCATTAAATTAAAAAGTTTCTTGTTGATCTAATAAAATCTTATACGATGAATAGTTTTTCGTTATTTTTATCGTATTTACCTACTGTATTACCACGCGTCGTTGCTTGCCGTCTGCTGATTTGGATGTTTTCCGTCTGATGTTCTATCAATTTATGATGATGCTTCACCCGTCGGTTACCTTATGCAGTTGATGCTATCAACTGATAAATATATACACAATATATTAAAATGTAAGTGTTTTATTCTTGTTGCAACTTTTTTACGTAATTTTTCCGATCATTTTCGGGTAAAATCTTTGAATTTATGTTAAAATATAGTTGTTTCGGTATAAATTTCTCTTGGCACAATGTGAATGTTGATCATATTTGTAGTTTTTAAAACTTTCCTTTTGTAACACCCTGTATATTTGTTTTCCTAACAGTACTTTAATAAATCGTCTTTATTTGTGAGTTTTGAGTGTTCTTTGTTTTAAACTTGGAATTTTCCTTTTGGAACACCCTGTATATTTGCTTTTCTTTGTGTCCGTGAAAACTTTCCTTCAGTCGTGGTTTTAGAGAATTTTTGCATGTTAAGTTTTTTTTTTGTAACACCCTGTTTATTAGTTTCCCGGAGCATCGGGTGAAAACAAGCAATATTTGTAGTGTTTAGATGTTTTCCTCTTTGATGGTTGAATTTTCTATTTGTGACACCTTGTATAATCGTTTTCCTTCACATCCCTGAAAATTTTGCTTTGACTGTTATTAGAATTTAACTTCTTGCACTTTGAATTTTCTTTTTGTAACGCCCTGTATATTTGTTTCCCAGTGGAAAAGTAACCGTGGAAAACTTGCGATATTTGAATGTTTAGATGTTTTCCTGTCTGTACTTAATTTTCTGTAACCCCCCGGTATATTTGTTTCCATTTTCAATCACGAAGAAAATTGACTTTGCTTTATCCCGCTAGAACTTCACTTAGTGATACGCGATTGTTTGCGCGGCTAAGCAGGTCGTAATTCCAATTTCAATATGGCGGCATGAATTCTGTTGACTTATATTATTTTACATTGTATTTATTAATAAAGAAATGTTAAGAAATATTATGTCTTATGCTTTCAATGTACCCGTTCTATCATTTCAGGTACAGGTCTCTAAGAGAGTTCCCTCTCTCAGGGGATGATCCCCACTATAAAAATTGTTAAGGTATCCTGTATGATTTGTGTACTCCATCTTTCATTTCAGCTACAGGTGAGAACTTGTAAGAATATTTTTAAGAGTCCCCTCTCTTGAGGCGACTTAAAAATTAGAAATATTTTTACAAGTCCTTAAAAGGATGTCCTTATAAGGAGTTCCCTCTCTCTGGGGGTGATCCCCCACCATAAAAATTGTTGATATGCCTGATAATTCCGGGGATGAAGCGCAGAGACATCGTAGCTGTAGGATGGGCCGGGAGCAATGGACGCATCGACGCATCGCAGTGGGCCTCCGGCGCTCTGGGAGATCGACCGTAGACTGTCTTATAACGACACGTGCCAAAAAATTTAAAAATCTGATTCACTCCTGTTGCTCTTTCTTCTATCTCCTCCTCTTCTCTCTACTCTACTCTGTTCTCTTCCTCTCTGTCATCTACTCTTTTTTGCTATTCCTTTTTCTACTTCTCCTATTTCTCTGTTCTCCGTTTCTCTACTTATTCTTACTTTCTTACTTCTCTTATTGCCTTCACTTAAATTTTAATTTCTCTTATATTTCATTTGAATTTACATATGCAACCCAAATTACATCTTTTATTTTTATATTTGAGAAAAATGCCTTCTGTACCTAAGATTCGATCCGTGCCTACTAGCATGCTAGCAGGTGCACGTCTCCACTCGACCACCGAGTGTTTTTATTATTGGTATTTGATTCTTCTATATATGTTTTTGTTTTTATCATGTTTTTAAAAACAACAACACAATTCAAGCAACAGCAACGCATTGTACACGCTTCACGCACATAAGATTTATATACTATATGATTTAAGACACCGATACTGAAAACAATAAAAGGGATCCAACAACAAAATAAGAATTAGTTTATAACATGTCAATGTGTTTTATTGACAACATTTAAAATACATATATCTTTCAAGCACAAAAAATCGACGAATCTCAAATCTCGTACCTTAAAATGTGCGCATGTCCAATACTTCTTTCATGGATATCGCAGATTCCACGAGTCCCATACTCAAAAACTAGGCACCAACATTGTCTATCAGCAGGAATTAATAATAAATCCAAGTTTTGCCAATATTCGAGAAGATAAACGACTGTCAATGAACACGCACGCGGCGCAACACAGTTGCAGATCATTCTACAACCGAACAATATCTAGCGACGCCCGGCCGAACGAACATCCCAAGCACACAGGCGAACCGATGATTAATTGCGGTTGCGCCACATTAGCCTGTTACGAAAGGCCGATGAAGGCCATTACAGAATTAAAGTAAGAAACGCAAAAAGTCGCTACGAAGATCGACTGACGAACAAAACACGTGCTAACCGTAGCACAGCGCGCGATCAACTAAAGTGTAAAGAGAATTGATATCAGGCGTAAACAAAGCAGATAGCCCCTACCAGTACTATCTAAATAAGCAGGAACACTGACGTGCTGTGCTGACACAAGCAACATATTAGACACAAAACAAAATTAAAAACATTAGGCTAGTATTTATTACTTTTGATTCATTCAATTTGATTTGAGTAACGCCCTGCTTGTGTTCCAAAAATCCTAAATAATTAAGTGAAATCCCTAAAACCAAAAATTAGTCCTTCGAACATAAAAATGCAATTTTGGTAGGTAGTAAATTTGTAAGATAATCACAAAAGTTATTTAGAAAAATAATAAATAAATTTAATACTTACAATTTGATGCAACAATGGTCCATCTACAATATCAGACTCAAATGCAAAATCCCTAAAACAATCAAAAATTAGTGCTTCGAACATAAAAAATGCAATTTTGGACATTAATTTGTGAGATAATCACAAAAGTTATTTAGAAAAATGATAAATAGATTTCATACTTACAATTTGATGTAACCGTGGTCCATCTACAATATCAGACTCAGGTGCAAAATTCCTAAAACAATCAAAAATTAGTCCTCCAAACATTAAAATGCAATTTTGGATATTAATTTGTGAGATTATCACAAGAGTTATTTAGAAAAATGATAAATAAATTTAATACTTACAATTTGATGTAACAGTGGTCCATCTACAATATCAGATTCAGGTGCAAAATCCCTAAAACAAACAAAAATTAGTCCTTCGAACATACAAATGCAATTTTAGTGGTTAATTTGTAATATAATCACAAAAGTTATGTAGCAAAATGATAAAAAAATTAAATACATACAATTTTATGTAACAGTGGTCCATCTACAATATCAGACTCAGGTGCAAAATCCCTAAAACAAACAAAAATTAGTCCTTCGAACGTTAAAATGCAATTTTGGTGGTTAATTTGTAAAATAATCACAAAAGTTATTTAGCAAAATGATAAAGAATTTAAATACATACAATTTGATGCAAAAATGATCCTTCTACGTTGTCAGACCCAGGTGCAAAATCCCTAAAACAATAAAAAATTAGTGCTGTGGTCATTAAAATGCAATTTTGGATATTAATTTGTGAGATAATAACAAGAGTTATTTAGAAAAATTATAAATAAATTTAATACTTACAATTTGTTGTAACAGTGGTCCATCTACAATATCAGACTCAGGTGTAAAATCCCTAAAACAATCAAAAATTAGTCAAAACGTATACAAAAAAAATCGCCCAAAAAAACGTTTACAAAAAAATGCGGTCGAAAAAACGTTTACAAAAAAATTCTACCGAAAAAATTTTGGCAAAAAATTCGACCGAAAAATTTTAAGTAAAAAAGTTCGACCCTGTTTTTCGGTGGAAAAAATATTAATAACAAATTCGAGCGAAAAAAATTTAACAAAAAAATTCGACCGAAAAAATTTTAACAATAAAATTCAACCAAAAAATTTTAAGTTAAAAAGTTCGACTCTGTTTTTCGACGGAAAAAATTTTAAAATTTAACAAAATTTTTGTAGGTTTCCCGAGGGTTGAACCCACAAGTTATGTATGAAAATTATAAAGAAATTTAATACCTACAATTTACTGCAAAAATGGTTACCCTACGTCGTCGCGTTCGCCCGCTAAAACAAAGAAACAACACAATATTACCAAAGCAAAAAACACAAACAGGGCATTTTTTAGGTTTTCCAAGGGATAAACCCACAAGTTATATACGAAAATTGTAAAGAATTTTAATACCTACAATTTGATGAAATAACGCTTGCTCTACGACATGGCGTTCGCTCGCTACACACCAAAAACCACAAAATTAGCCGACCGAAAAACACAAAAAGGACATTTTTGTAGGTTTTCCGAGAGTTAAACCCACAAGTTATATATGAAAATTATAAAAAATTTCAATACCTACAATTTTATGAAAAAACGGTTGCCCTACGACATGGCGTTCGCTCGCTACACACCAAAAACCACAAAATTAGCCAACCGAAAAACACAAAAAGGGCATTTTTGTAGATTTTCCGAGGGTTAAACCCACAAGTTATATATGAAAATTATAAAGAATTTTAATACCTACAATTTATTGTAAAAATGGTTGCCCTACGACATCGCGTTCACCCGCTAAAACAAAAAAAAAACACAATATTACCCCGGCGAAAAACACAAAAAGGGCATTTTTTTAGGTTTTCCGATGGATAAACTCACAACTAATATATGAAAAATGTAAAGAATGTTAATACCTACATTTTAGTGCAAAAATGGTTGCCCTACGATACCGCGTTCGCCCGCTAAAACAAAAAAAACACAATATTACCCGAGTAAAAAATACAAAAAGGACATTTTTTTAGGTTTTCCGAGGGATAAACTCACAAGTAATATATGAAAAATGTAAAGATTTTTAATACCTATGCGAGACCCATACTAATACTAATGCGAGAACATACCTTGATGCAAAATAAAGTTTTGCATTTTGGTATATCCAATAAGTTGTATGGACCTTAATTATGCACATTGTAGAACCTATAAAATAACGTATAATACAAAAAGAATACGACAACCGACGGTACATCACTCACGCTTTACCTCTGAGTATGTATAATCCGCGTGGTAAGAACCCCGCACATCAATCGCGCACAATCGAAGAAGCACTTAGAAACTCAAGAATAATGAAGACAATGTGCGTGCAGATCACCTGACGACAAAAATGAGACTAACGTGGTATACAAGCCAACCGCGTGGCGATCCTACAAAAATTGCACGAGATAAGAAAGCATGTTTGTTTGTAAACACTGATACTGTCAGTGTGGTAGTGCAGAACATGAATAGAATTGTACTCGCACTATGCATGGAACTATTAATTTCGATTAAATTCTGTTTTCGGATTCTGATAGATAATTTAATTCTACATCGATTATTTTAGTTTTTGTGCTAGCATTAACCGTTTAGGCCCTATTTACAATTTTAGTGCAAACTAGATTCGACATAAAAAAGAGAAATCTTTTGCCTTTTTTATAACAAAATCTTTTCCTTAAAAATTTTTTGTGCCATTTTGGGCATTTTTCAATAAGGATGCCATCTTGCAGAGAATCTTTAAAGGAATACGAATCTAAAGTCCTTTTCCTCCTAGCCCTATTAGTTCAGGAGATATTACCGTTTAAAGTTTTAATTTCAAAGGAAAATATTTGTAGGAAAAAGTTCGGCCCTGTTCTTCGAGCCAAAATTATTATTTTTTAAAAGTTCGACCCTGTCCTTCGGCCTATTTTAACTTTTAAATTTTAACATAAAAAAGAGAAATCTCTTGCATTTTTTATGACACAATCTTTTTATTCAATATTTGCAGGTTTTGTAATTGGCATTTTGGAATTCTGATTTCAGATTCTGAAAGTATATTTAATTCTGAATCATAAGGAATTAACATAATTGCGTGTAAGGCCCTTTCGGCCTTAAGATATGATAAATAACATTTCAACTCGACACAACCAGGTTTTTAACTATAAGGTCACAACCTGAAATAAAGGGATGATCTGAAATAATAAAAAATTCAGGGATACAATAATTCAAAAGCCACAAATCGTCTCGAAAAAAGGAATTCAATTTATTGGTCAGACTTTGAAGTTTAATTTTAAAATTTAATACATTTTTATAATGGTGTATTGTTGTCAGCTATGTCTAAGGCATAGCAGTATTAACAATCTTTTTTTTCCTTCTGACTAATGTCAACATGTACAAAGCACTATACATTATTTACAATAAACATAATATTACTCAACATTATAATAACTAATATTCTTGATACATCCTTATCATCTTGACACGCTCTCATTTACAATATTTTAGACGAACCAACGACGAAGACAGCAGTCATGGGATAAAATTAAGCGAATAAATACATATAGAATAAACGTTTAAGAAGTAAAAAAAAAACATTACACAAGTCTTCGCCACTGGCTCCCGCTTTCGGTTGCTAAATGCCAGGGATATAAACAATCATGAATATGCGCCAGTATAGCATCGCAGTTTTAATTGCTTAATAAAACCAAATAATGCCTTATTTAGTTTTTAATCTGTATTTACAATGACGGTGCAAGCTATCATCAAGAAGCACTAATTTGTAGATGTTAACCCATTTGAATGCGTAATTAATTGCGTTTTAATGTCTGACTGAATAATAACTGCGTGACTTCATGGGAAACAGTAACAACATTCATACTCTTTGCACAATAATTAATTATTGTTTACAATTTTTAAGTAGATGTGTGTTGTTCATCTAAATTTCTCTCGATAAATACGTAATGTTGCAAGTAATTCAAATCATGGTAAATACCAATGACGGCAGTTTCAACGTTGATGGCTTGAGATCAAAATTTACAATCGTTTTGAATCGTTGTGTGCTAACATCGCAAAATCGAAAACTCAAAATATACAACGTATTTACGGAATGACTCGAATAACTCACATCAACGTATTCGTATTCACAATTTTCCCTCGCATTCTTACTCGCCCCGTCCGAGCGAAATCGCGTTTGTTTATAAATTAATTAGTAAAATAGTTCATTATAAAATGTATCACTTTTCATCAGTATCAACTCGTTCACACGTTCTGAGCTTACTTATAATATTAATTACATAATGACCGAAAAGTCTGATCAAGGAATCACAGATATACACTTATGCAATAGGCGGGTTTCTCTAACTATCGCCGTACGGCGGCAGGACGAACTGCCCGGATGCGTACGGGTCGTGCGGATGTGGGTGCTGGTAGGCGTCCTGTGGTTGCAGGTGACATACGACGGTATCGCCGTTGAGGACAGCCGCCAGCGAGCGCGCATCGCCGCGATACATACGGCGGCTTTGGTAGATGTCCATCGCGTGAGGATCAAGCGCATGCACGCTGTGCTCCGTTGCGGGGCTGTATGGGATGAGAGGGCGATGGTCCCCATACGACCGCGATGACTGTCGTGACATATCACTCTGTCGCTTTCCATCCTCGTCGCTCATATCGGACACCTGAATTTCATTCCGTTCGATCTCCTCGTAGACAGGGTCGTCCTCCGGCATGCCAAAACCGCCCCCGGCTCGTTGCATGCGAGCGTCGTGGATCTCTGTGTAGGTGTGGTTCCAGGGCGCGTTGGCACGCAACGTGCCGCCATTCTTCTTTCGGTAGGGGTGTTGAGCCAGCGGAAGATGCTTAGGGTGGGGCAACGAGTCGGTGCGACGGGCGTATTCAGCCGCCCCTTGCGGAATACCACCTGTTATCATATGGTGGTTGTACTCGGAGACGTACGGCTGTCGGCGATTGTCTTTGAAGTTGTTAAGTCGTCCATCGGGCAGTACCACGTGAGATCGAGGTGAGTCCTCTTGCTCAGACCCACCATGGCCGGAGTCACGGCTGTACGACTTAAAAGAAATGTTCTGTGGAAATAAAACAACCGCTATAGAATATGTAAGTTGAAAGGTGTGGTTTTAGTAATTTATGAAGTAGTATGAAAGAATAGGGAGATAAACAAGCTTGAAGCAGTACCCATTGATAGAAAGGCTCCATCAAGATTGATATATCAAAAACAACTCAAAAGAACTCAGTGCTCACATACAGAACGTGTGTTAATCTACGTTTCTCTTTGCAAAATAAAATTTCGTGTAATTTTGTGACATCCTGATGAGAATCTTTCTACGTTACGCACCTTCCAGTGTAAGGGCTTGTGTAGAGGCCCCCAAGTAGAAGCAGACTTGGGTAGGTTAGCATTGACAGCGGATTGCTTATAGAAGTTACGAATGTAAGGTAGAGTAGAGGTGTTGGGGGGCTCTACAGCGGCGTCGCCCGCCCGCTGTGGCTGCCTGCTTAGAGTGGCAGCCATTGTGGTAGCGGGCGGTGATACTTTGCCTACCCGATTCATGTTGGTCAAACTCTGCGCTTTCCAGTCCCGCTGCAGCTGTAACAAGACGGAAAGGGTTCCTTCACCAAGCCTTGCGCATTTACACAAAACACACAGACGGCGGGAGAGGCGGGCCAAACGAGTGTGAAGCGGCAAGCGTAAGTTTGTTAATTGTTACGAGGGGGATGTTTCTACGAAGGTAGTTACCATGAGAGTTACGCATGCGTAGTAGAGAAAAGGAGGCACGCAATGCACGCACCACCACAGAGCACCACGGTAGTTAGTAAGCAGCTCAGATAAACAAAACGTGAGATTAGGAAGAGGCGATCCTTCCTACGAAATTGTTTGAGGCGTACACACGCGGTCGGGTACCTTGTTGCGCAATATTATGCAGCCGGTTGTGGTTCATCGTGGTGGTGCTAGCATTGTTGAGCTCGGTTCGAGGGAGGAACTGAACCGACTGAACGGCAGGACGCACGTTATTAAGGTTATTGGAGACTATATTGTTGGTACCCACACTAGTGCCGTGCTGCGAGAGCACAGAGCTATCCGGCGGCGCCGAAGGATTGCCGTTCGAGCCGGGGTAGAGACTAGTGCGGCCCTCCTTGCCAACGCCCGAGCTGCCGCCACCGCCGCTGCTACTGCCGCCCGCCGCGTTCGGCTTAGAGCAGCGCAAACATTTCGGCAGCCACGAGTGCTTCCGGATGAAACGTGGATACTCCTTCCGCACCTGCGAGACGAACAGACAATTTGAAACCCGAAATCTGACACTTCGCGCGGTGCATTTCGTTTTTAATAAAACCCATCGTCGTTGTCTTACCTTTTCGTTTTGAACGCAATGGAACACGAAAATGAAGAATCCTTGCAGCGAGTTCAAAATGGCGAAAATATAGGCCATCACGACCGTCTCCTTATTCAAATAGAGGAATCCGAAAGTCCACGTCAGCCCCAGCAGGAATATGAGGATTATTGCTCCTTTCAACCAAGTCCTAAAATGAAAATGTTTTTATTTCCTGTTCGCGCCAACATAACACACAAAGCGCACAGAAGCCTTTCCATATTAAAAGCGCGGCGCTCGCGCGTAAAAACGTTCGAATGCAAATTAAATTTTTCACTATGAAAATTGTACTAATATGGCTTGTCTTCTGCTCGCATTGAATTTGAAAATTGCATTACGATATTATTCGACATGCGTTGCGAGAATGCATGCAAGCAAAACGAACATCAAAAGAAATTTAATTAAATGCTATCATATCTATATATGTATATATCATTGAAGAATATCTTACAAGTGAAATGGAAATTTGCTTTGAAGTGCATTTTCCTCTTTTCCACTACCGGGGTTACCAAAGTTACCAAGAGACGAGCCCATGCAAAAGAAGGAAAATATTTCGAGTTAGACAAACGTTCCACCAAGGCCTTGGCTTTGAATGTATTTACAATATTTTCAAAGATGTTTGAAAACTGTGTTAGATTAGTGTAAGAAAACGCAATGTTAATGTTGTTTGTAAATCAAACATGCCAACACAATAACCAGTGCAATCAATAGCGAATTAGGTGTGAACGGTAAACCGGAAGCAGACATACCTGGTGCTCGCAAGTCGTGAGTGTTCTTTGTTCTTCATTGCTACGGTCGGATTCGCGTGTCGACACATTTTCACGATGGCCATCATTAGGAAGATGACATTCAACTAAAAACAATAAAATATTTAGTACCAACAATGTAGGTATAAGTTTCCTGGTTAACCAAATTTAAATAAAAGGGGATGTACATACCACTAACACGATGGAAACTGGTCCAATAAACGTGTAAATAATGTAGTTATCCGATCGTAGCCAACAATAGCGGTCGCTGCCGTAGCCCTGTGGAAATAGCGTCCCCGAAATGCCTACAATAAGCATCGGAAGGCCGTACGCAATGAGGTAGTACCATTTGATACGAGACTTTTCCGTTTCGAATACCTCGATGAGCATTACGTATAGATGAAAACCTACAAGAATATAGCAGCAACCAGATATAGTAGAGAAACGTGGAACGTAATTTAATAAAGGTAATCAAGCCACCTACCTTCAAAGAACATCCACATAAACGCACAGAGAAAGATATATTGCAACACGGCGGCAATCACACCACACGCGATTTGGTTCTCTGTCCTTCCAATGCCGGCGAGGAACAACACTTCCGCTATCAGGAGACACACGCATAAATTGCAGTGGATCGTCGTTCTATCACACTATAAAACAAGCGCATACATTAATTTACTGCGCCCCAAACACGTCCTTGGCAGATAAACTTACCTTCAGGCCGCGAAACATTTGGAACGTAATGATTGCGAGCACTAAACATACTATAGAAATACTACAACCCACGTAGGTGATGATCTGTAGCGCTAGTTGATGACCAGGTGGTAAATAAACAGCTCGCACGTCCATAAGAATGGCAAAGTTCGTCAAGTGATTGCACAAGCACGTCGTGTGTGTATGGTTCGTCGACTCGACATGACAACCCTCCTCGGACCAAGCCGACGTCGTGTAGTCCCAGAACACGCAGCTGGGATTCGTCACGTTGTCCGTTTGCAAATGTCGCAGCGTGAGCCGCACCGGCTCCTTGAGCTGGATGTGCCGCCCCTTGCCGAGGCTGGCGGAGATCACCTTACTGTTGAGCACCCGCGTCAGATTGCGGCCGGCGCCCGCCTCCGTCGACTCGGGATGCCACTGGAGGATCTCCTCGAGGCGGTCGAAAGCGAAAAACACCAGCCGCACTAATCGCCCGTCGCTGTTCTCGAGAAGCGCGCCCTGCGGCAGCTCGATTGTGTCGTTGCTCGACGACCATTTATTATCGCCGGAGGGGAAGCGTTCCGTCGTCACTGACTTCGTGTCGAGCACCCGCACGGACAGCACTGCAACGGGACACACAATGAGCAATTAATTAAAACCCGCCTTTGTCGTCCGAGTTTCTCTGTCTCGCCCCGACTCATACAACGAGGAAATAAAAGTGAAACTAAAGGAGAAAGGAAAAAAGCACTTACTTATGTTTTTGACGACCTGATCGACGGTCTTCTCCCGCGTGACAGTTTCAGCCAGCAGAAAAGCGTTCTCTTCCAGGCCTATCAGCAAAGAAGTAGCCACACGCATTTGTTCCTTGTGACTAAGATCTCGCCATGAAGGATGCTGCGAAGAGTCCAATAGATTACTCCCTGTCTTGACAACATCGTTGAGCATTTCGGTGACGATTGTTTCTCGCTGCCGCGTGTCGGGGAAGGTCTGGATATCCATCGCCATCTTTTGTGCCATTTTCTGGATGATTTTCGCAGTAATCATCATGTCACCACCATACAATGTCAGTGTTTTACTGCTGGTGACTTGAGCCAAGTCGCTAGTAATTGAAATCAATGGATCTTTGCCTAAATTTACACGTTGTTCTAAACTAGTAAGCCAGACAGAGCGACACTCGCTTAAATCTGGCGTCGATGGTGTCCACTGAGGATCGGAGCCAGGCACCTTGGTGCAACGCCATTTTGCAAAACCGGTAGTACCTCCCGGACAAGGCTGTATCCGGATCTCTTCCGACGCACGCGTCCAATTCCAATAAATGCTCCGCATTGTAATCGGACGGCAGTTGTCTGAGTCATCATTGGACAACGGAACTAAACTCGATGATGGCACGTTTGCATTCACCGCGGAAGCAGAGGAATCTAAACGTTTAACATTTTAAAATCTCTCCTAGACGAAACAAGTTGATGATTTAACAGTACCTGTATACTTCCGTGGCTGTGACGTAGTAAATGGCAGTGTAGTAGCGTCATTGTGCGGCTTGACCGGAGTATCTTCACTAAGAGACGGCTCGACTATATCATCATCTTCCGCGGATGTGGCAGGCGGTGGATGCACAGGAGCCGGTTTAATCGACGTCGAAGGATGCGTGTGCGCATTATGCAACGACGCCGTTGTCGCGGCAGTTGTGCGTGCAGGTGCCGCCGTACCTGTAACTTTTGGCGGAGGCGGCGGGGGCCGCGCTGACGTCTTCACCGTGCTCCACATCGGTGGCTGCGATGTGATTAGCCACGGCGGCGTCGGCCGGTTTGTCGTCGTTGTCGTGGCGGCTATAAATTTGGCTTATGAAGCAAACGCATGCAAGATTAGCGTGAAATTCAACTTCTCATTTCCGGTTTCGAGAACACACGTAACGTATAAAGTAAAAACAAGAAGTTTCATTCCAAGTACAGGTACAATACGAGTAAGTAAACTCAAATATAATCAAATAACAGGCAGAAACAGAGGAAGTAAGTAAACTGATATCAAACGAAAAAAACGCAATAACTAAAAAATAATAATAGATGCTCGCGTCCTCGTAGAGGGTGCAATAAGTGCAGTGGCGTAACTTACCAGGTAGGCATTGATAGTGGGCCTCGAGGTACTTCAGAGTGCCCGTACAATGGTCACCGAACATGGCCGTGCTCGCCGGCACGCTGCAGTTCTGATGTTCGGCACACCTGCGTTTTCAATCATCAAAAATCAGCACGCAACACATCAGAAAAAATCAGCGCGATCAATTACTTCCTCGTTTCTAACCGATATTGCATGTTATACGCGTCCCCTACTCAATTAAAAACGCAACCCTACCGCATCTGTAATGTGCCTCGACGTATTTAACGGTGTTTGAGCATGGATCATTATCGAACACCTCATTGTTGACGTCGACCGTGCAGTTTGAGCGCGCCTCACATCTGAAAGAAGTACAAACTCGCCGGTGTTGTGACCAATATGGCCGCGGGTAAGCCCACACAGCATGCTTTTGGTTAATTTTTTTTTGTTATAAACACACACAATGACAACATGTCACAATGAGGCGGCGATCATCGACGGGCACACACAGAGAGCAGGCGAGCGAAGAGACAATTACTTTAATGAATTGATGATTTGTTTGGTTTAGAATGGATGACGCCTGACGTAACATACAATATTGGCAGAAACACGAAATAATAAATAGCACATGACGAACATGAAAATTATCATATGAATTCATTTATGATTCGACCATTTCAAAAATTAATATTTCGTATTCCTATACAGCTAGAGAAATATATGAAATTTCGTGCGAGTCGATAAATGAATTTCCCTGTTCGAACCAGTTACATTTTAATATATCAACTTTTTAGTCTAATAAATTCGACATGTTTGCACTAAACCGTTTTAAATGAATTTTTCGCCCCCCAAAAAAAATCGTTAAAATTCATTACAACATTTTAATTCCGAATGTGTGTAAATGTTTGAAACACAAATGAAATTCATATAAAATCGGAAGTTGAGAATTTCGATGTTTAGTGCACAACATGCTTTTTTTGTCCCAATATATTTCGAAACAAACCAGCTGGTCTGGAAACTTTTCATGCTAAACCTATTATTTTTCTTTTTTCGTAAAACATGTAATTTAATGCCCAAAAAGCTTTTTTCGCTTCTATGAATATGAACCCCATGATTTAACTATTCCAAACAAAAGCAACGCAACAACTTTTTGTAAATGCACTCGTTTCGAGTGGACTAGTTGATTCCCCACGTGATTGTTAGTAACCTGTTGGCAGCACACATCAAAGAGCTCATGCACATCGCAGACACGTACCTGCCACGTAGGACGCGCAGCGTTTGCGGAGACATGCAATTGACGCTCCACTCGGTGTTGCCATGATCGTTGCATATCGTGATGGAGAAGCGGCCGTAGTTTGCGCGTATCAACTTGATGAGTTCGCCCTCCTTACATTCGATCTTCAGCACTTTGCCTTCGCATGCGTACGCTGTCTCATATCGGTACATTTCTGAAACAAACAAAACGAAATTTCATTAAAGTTGATCCATTTAATTGTTAAAACAATTCAATAGTCCGCTCCTTAGATAATATATTCACCACACAAGTGACTATATAATTGGACTATTAATGTTGCATTATGCATGCACATTAAGACCAATTAAATTAATATCTGCATTGCGACACGTCCAATTGTGTAGCCGGGGTCGATGCTGCTGGAGGGCGCGAACGCCGCAAAGGCGGACAAGCAAATCAGAAACACCTCTCGACGTCGAAGTCGAATATTACCGTCAGTTTAATACCTGTTGGTGCTGCCTTATGCCATCTCGGACAATGTGATGATGATTTGATTATATTCGCCGCACACATTTCGCAAGCGACAAATTATATGTGTAACAAATTGATATTTAATACGCTCATAAACTGATGGTGTGTATGACTGTGTTTAGTGCAAATGTAAAAATAACTGTAGATTGGATGAGGTATGCCGGCTGGGAAAGACAGACGCACGGATGCGCCGCGTTCGTAACCGTGCTTTATGTACGCCATTTCGGCAGCGCTATGAAAATGGCGATATTTATGCGTTACAATGTGAGGACGCGCGTAAACCTAAACACTCCGGCGCGGGCGCGGTAATGTTTTAATAAAATGAATTATGAGTGGCGCGCACACCGGCTCAGGGTACGCCACACCGCATAAACATAAAACGCGCCGAGGAGCAGAAGGAAAAAAACACGCGCACAACACACCGGTATACGCCGGCGAGAGGAGGAATTATAATAGCTATTAAAATGTTGTTTATTTTCTCGCCGCGACACATCGCGCAGGGAGCAGGAGCAGCGAGAGGTTATCAACTACTTCACAATCAATTTACTCCTCGTATCTTTCATAATTCTGTACCACACACTTAGCGGTGACGTCAGCGCGTAACATTTCATTTGAATTCGATAAACCAAATAAAACTCGTGGCTGAATCCCAAATCTACTTTGTGTTTATCCAGGCGTAAAAGTACATTTAAAACGTCTGATGAAAATTTAAGAGGCCGCGCCACCTCTTGAAGAAAAAGGTGTGTGATAATTTATTCACGGCAGTTATTCGCGAATTTCGCAATGTTTTCTTTTTTTCTTCCGGTGCGAAAGTGAAATTGAAGCGCATTTGCAATAATTGGAAGTAAAACTCGCAGCACGGGAGAAGCCAATTTAAAAAGAGAACAAAGAGAGGCTGAAGGAAGCGGGTTCAATGCTTCAAACTTTATCTCGTTATCGGACCGAAGACTATGCAGAGCGCGCCTCGCTGTAGTACCTACGTAGTTAATTTCACAATGCAAACTTATTTGTTGGCGCGTACGTTAAGTCCCCGCGCATTGTGCTGGGTTATTGGCCACTGATACAAATCAATGTGTGGTTGTTGCTGCTTAGCCGCGCGCGCTCCACACTCGCGATAGATGCGGAGCGCGGCCGGCTGAGCAATAGGTACAGTTAAGTTCATTGTGAGCGGGACTCTCATGAGTCTCATGCGCGCTGCTCATGAGCCTGCACAACCCGCATCTTTTCTCCGCTCCTCGCTGAAAAAGCGAGCGCACCGAGAAGACGAAAGGAAGACGCGCCGGCACGACGCAGCCGACCGGATTCTTAAACCTGTCTCGAGCCGTTGATTGGAATAAAGACGACGGCGGCGCGCGAGAGAGAGGCGGCCGGAATGCTGCTCGCGAACGTACAGTCAATTACTAAACTAGATAGCGCACGTAATATGCGCGCTGTGCTCTCGCGCGCGCGCCGGGCGCCTTTTTATTATAAATAAAAAATCAGCCGGCATTGTAGGCCCCGGCCGCTCGTAAGTAAGTAAGCGCATTAAACTAATGTCCGTACAAATGAATAAAAACTTTTTCGACTCCGATGGGAAACTTGGTGGGAAGTAAACCACGACGGAGAGTGCATCGGAATGAGAAACCGAGTAGCACACACACACACACACACACACACAGCACACACAAAACACTGCCGCACAACCGGAGAGCTTCTTTTGATAGTTGGAAAGTTTGATTAACGCGAGGACGAACTGTTTTTTTATTAGATTGATTGATTGCTCCGCCGCTGGAGTTAATGACTTCAATCGGCATAAAGAAAACCAACAACGACTGACATTGATAGCGCAGCGAAAAAGCAACTAACCAAAACTATAAAATCCACGAACAAAACACCGATTTACACACGTTATGTGTACGCAGCGTGCAAAAGTGGGGATTGTGTGAATTCTCACCAGCTTGTTTTTGTTGATCTTGTTTCCGTGATGTTAGGTGCTTGTTCAACATTGCTGATATTAAATTCTCCACTTTACCTGCGCGCACACCTCACACACTATATACCCCATACCCGCACATTACATCTAGTTGATATATAAATATAATCTCTCTATTAAAAGACGCCGTTGAATACACATACATGCACAGGCTGGTGAGAATCGTAAGAATGTGGAACATGAAAAGGCAAGCAAGCAGCAGGAGCGGCGCGCGCCTTGAAGATGACGGCAAAGTTTTATTACACGTATTAAATTTTTACGAGTTTTAGTGAGAACGTACACACAACTTACGTAGGAAATTTGCCAGGACAAGAGGCACACATATACATACACACCAACGCAGAAAGTTACTGTTATATCCCGCATGAACTTCGACATCAAAATCGAAATTTTCATAAAGCAAAAATTACCTACTGTGATATAACACACCGAAAATAGCAAAATTATTATTAGCGCTTGGCACAATAAAAGTTTTTCGGTTGTTTTATGCTGAAATAATGGGACAAGGCGCCGGGTGCGTGCCATTCGGCGCTTAAGATTCGGCGCGCTATTAAAGTCATGTTTTTACAAATTATGCACGAGCATAAACTACCCGAAAACTTCAAAACCTTATCTAAACACTAATATAGACGAACGTGCACGGTACGTTGGCGATGGAAGGCGATTGTGGGGGAGGGAAAATTTCTTTGCGCGGATTGCCTTTTGTACGTAAAAGTACAAAACTTTAGCGAAAATAAAGATTAGCCCTAGACGGCGGTAGTCGTTATGTATGCGCATAACGCTCGTAGCGGCGCCGGCAATTTTCTAAATTTACTACTACTTTGTGGGGTGGCGGTATGTACTAATTTTTGGAATGGAGCAAATTGCACTTTGACACACACCTCACATTAAATGCAGATGTAGATGGTCATTAGGTGCATCATTATCTACTTCATAACGTCTAGACGTTTATATATTGTTTTCGAAAATGTAGGAGAATGGGAAACTCATTTGCAAAAACTACACTCTTCTAAACTTGCGTGTATGGGGACCTAATGGATGGCTTTCGGATGAGTTATGACTCATTGCACAGTGACACTGTATGATTAATGAAGTAATAAAAATTACGTAATAAATTAAAGAGCTCGCTCCCCAACCCAATGGACCTAGTTGTATGTTGGTGGTCGGTTGGTTAGGAACATAAAACTACAATTTTTGAGTATTGCTGGGTGTTGGTTAAAATGATTGGAATAAAGTGTTTGGATACATCCGCGGACGTGTGGCGTAATGATAGCAATGCGTAATGGAGCGAAATTAAAGTGATGGAGCAGGCGCGCATCTTCAGCTTGGATTTTAATAGCCCCGGCCTGCGGTTCGATGGCACGGCATGGCGTGGCGGCAGAGTGCAAGGTACAAGGTACTCTCGCCAAGCCGACGGAGTAGTTGGTGCTTATAAAGTTGCACGTCCGCGTGAGATGTAAGCCGGTACTTAGCGTGCATGTTTATGCGGACGAAGGTCAGTCCGGATGGCCCCGTGTGTGCAATCGAGCCGCGGACTCTGCGCGCGACTTGAAGACTCTGCTGCTGCTGCTGCGGCTGCCAAGACCCGATTACGGCGAGCGCTCTTTTTGTCCGCGCTCGGCTTCACATGGCGTTGCGTGTGCACAGCGCGCGACCCAGCTCCTCGGAGAGATGTTGCAACAGCGGCAGGAGGCACCATCTAACAGTTGGCGTTTAGACCGGTTTCGCCGATACGGCCATCTCCGCAGCGCCGATGCGTCTTATTCAATGAAAACATTACGACGATGCATTACATTAGCAAGCGGATTCCACCACGAAATTGTTTCGTCGTCGGCGCTCTGGAATGAGATTTGACCGTCGCGCGATCAGCGGGGGTTTAGAGGAGATTTTGATCCGGGCTTGATTTTTAGATTTTCCACGGGATTACCTCGAGAGATCATTGTATAACTGAGTCGAGCGCGCCGGCTTCCGGGTGGGTTTTCTATCTGTTGCTATACACGCTACGCTTTTCCAGTCGGCCTTCGCTTCACTTAAATCGGTTATGAAAAGACCATTAACCGAAATGCGTCGTTGCTCCGCTGGCAGAAGGCTTTGAAGGGGTTTGAAGATTGTGGGATGGATTCACATTGAATTTTGTTTGAAAAGATGACACGTGATACTTTAATGCCGTGTGATTACGACACCTTTCACGGTGCGCTGCTTCAGATGGTTCGCGAAAGTTTGCACCAAACTAGACATCAATGTAATTATCCCCCAGCCACCTTGCTTCAATTATGTTTTTTGCCGCCTGAGTGGAGAGATACCTGCTCACGCAGGCGTGTATAATAATCGAGCGAATATCACGAATTTCGGCGAAGATACTAGTGAGGCATTGCTCTAATATGAAATTCCATCGCATGAGTTATAACGTAATCCCAAATGATTCCTTGGCGTGCTGATGCGCCTTCCAGTCGAGGCGAGTCTAGCCGACGAGTTCCCATGCTTCGTGCGCTTGTGTGCGAGAAATATATCACTCATATACGCTGTTGGAGATATCGTAGATGTGTAACACAGCAACTTTTGAGCAAATGCAGGTCGTGGGCTAGAAAGACTAGACATAATTCCATCTGGCCCAAAAACTGGTCCGAGATGCGCTCGCCGAGCGGATGATCTATTGAAGC